ATCAGATTTTGCTCTTTTCAGTCTGTTACCCTTAAGTGTATGTTGTGCCAGGGTTGCTCTTTTCAGTCTGTTACCCTTAAGTGTATGTTGTGCCAGGGTTGCTCTTTTCAGTCTGTTACCCTTAAGTGTATGTTGTGCCAGGGTTGCTCTTTTCAGTCTGTTACCCTTAAGTGTATGTTGTGCCAGGGACTGCTGACGGGCAAAGACGTTCAACTACACTTTGTAAGCCCCAGAGAGCTGCGTGGCAAGGTCAAACAATTTATTGTTAGGACTTAAATCTTATATAGAAGGGTTTGCCCTATAGATGAAATCAAAGAGAATAATCAAGCATTGCACACTAAAAAAAAAAAAAAATATCCACCACGTTAATAGCGCAATGTTAATAAGCTTGTCTTATTACTGATATTATCATACCTATCACAATCACATCCCAAATCCAAGCAAAATGTGAAACAATACAAATAATAATTACGTCGTCCCCATGTAAGACGCAATTTTTCATTATTTTGAAGCCACTATTTTTCAACATAGCCTGAAGGCTATCCTCATCCGCATGGTGGCACTTTGAGTCACTGGGGGGTTTATCGCTCTGTGTGATGTCCTAGTGGGGTTAAATTTACTTAATTACTCACAATATAAAATACAGTTTAGTGCTATAAATAATTACAAGATATCTACATTTAAAATAAAATAAAATATTTACTCTAGGAACTCAGTTAACACTATACTATATATCCCAATCATAACCCTTAGTGTTTGAAAAATTACTGCTACTACTACTACTACTTTGAAAGCCTTCAACGTAATAATAGGTTAGGTTAGTTGCGTATTCTTTACAGACCGTTGCAGAACCAACCCCAGCAGGTTTTTCTAGGCAAATTTACGTCCAGTAGTTTGCCATTGCTCCTGGACGGTAGGCTTTCTTGATACCACTATCGAAACCAACGCAAGCGTTCGCATCGACTTAGCCACAGAGCCGACCGTATTGATAGACGTTGCTATAATACAAAAACGATAATCTGTAAAACAGACGAAACGAATGTTGTTGACAGTAATTGCGCTGAAGTTGCAGAAAGAGAAACAGCAGTCGCGACCATTCACTGGATCGGCATCATAAATTCGACTGAGAAACCAGTAATAGTAATATATCAGACAATTTTTAATTTTATACCGGTCTTCTAATTCAATGTAATTCATTTTTTCTTCACTTGCTGCCAAAAAATGGGGACGGAGCACTTAGACTTATGGGGGTGTCTATGACTGTCAGTGTCACTGTCTAGTGTTCCGAGTTCTGTGATCACAGTGATGTCGATTCTTAATTAAACATTTTGTAATTCATGTATGAATTTCATTTATCATAGCTCAGATAGATAGAGTTACTGCTTTTGTACTTTTGTGCTACAGAGCTTCTTTGGACAGACTTGAGTTAGAACGGAGCACTTATTGGTAACACCCTTGTGCCATCATGATGTTGATCAATCTGTTGTTACTTGTTATGAAACATTAAAACCAGTTACTGCTTAGAACCAAACAGGAACATGAAACAAGAATTCTGAATTGACATCCCGATGATATGATCACGGCACTCGAAACATTCCCATTGATGCTCTGCCTCTTTCCTCAGTAGCCAGCAAAGAGTTTCCATACTGCTGGCGCTGGTTGCAACCTGACTAACACTTCACCAGTTTTGGCTCTCCTTGCACCTTTGGACGCAAGCTGGACGGCTTAGGTCGGCTTAGTGGGAGTTCTCTTCCTTGGCCGCATTGAAAACAACGAGCGGAAAAAGTCACGAATCAAACAAGACAGTGAGGTCGACATCAGGGCTGCCAATGCTTGGTTGTGTCCCCCAGATCTGGGTTTTTCTTTTGACGCTGCAGGAAAATCTAGGTTTTTTGTTTTTTTTTGCCCATCTGTATGCTTTAATGACCGATAATTTTGCGTGGTTAGGGGTAGGATTCGGGTTAGCGGTAGGATTGGGGTTAGGGGTAGGGTTAGGGTTAGGATAAGGGGTAGCGTTAGGGTTACGGTTAGGGTTAGGGGAAGCGTTAGGGGTAGGGTTACGGGTAGGGGTAGGGTTAGGTGTAGCGTTAGATGTGACAATTTTGATGCAGTAGTTCCCTATAATCACACACAGTCACATACACACCCAAACAGTCGACGGACGGTGGATGCTACTGACACGGACAATTCACCACCGATTGGGCACCAGCAGCGCGCTATTGCCGTCATATTTGGCACACTTCCAGTGGTGCCACTCCCACAAGCATCAGATTGTCACCCAGTATTTGGAAGTTATATGTCACCATTTTCACATCTAACCATACCCCTAACCCTATCCCTAACCCCAACCCACACCCTACGCAACCCTACACGCAACCGTATGATGATGATAGACACCCTACGCAGCCCTACACGCAACCGTATGATGATAGGTAACCCTAGACGCAACCGTATGATGACTACGTAACCCTACACGCAACTGTACGCAACCCTACACGCACCCGGATGTTGATAGGTAAGTATATCATTTGATTCGTGACTTTTCCGCTCGTTGTTTTGAATGCGGCCAAGGGAGAGAACTCCCACTAAGCCGACCTAAGCCGTCCAGCTTGCGTCCAAAGGTGCAAGGAGAGCCCCAGTTTTTTTCTGACAAGTAGAAAATATCCAGACCCTCTGCGTCTGCTCACATTCCCAGCTGACTGACATATTCTCTCCAGATGTGGATGCTGTATTCCGCAGCACTGTATACTTGATCCTAGTAAGCCTTTACCATTTTTACTTGATCCTAGTAAGCCTTTACCATGTTTACTTGAGACTGGCAAGCCTTTACCATTTTTACTTGAGACTGGCAAGCCTTTACCATGTTTACTTGAGACTGGCAAGCCTTTACCATGTGTACTTGAGACTGGCAAGCCTTTACCATGTTTACTTGAGACTGGCAAGCCTTTACCATGTTTACTTGAGACTAGCAAGCCTTTACCATGTTTACTTGATCCTAGTGAGCCTTTACCATGTTTACTTGAGACTAGCAAGCATTTACCATTTTTACTTGAGACTGGCAAGCCTTTACCATGTTTACTTGAGACTGGCCAGCCTTTACCATGTTTACTTGATCCTAGTGAGCCTTTACCATGTTTACTTGATCCTAGTGAGCCTTTACCATGTTTACTTGATCCTAGTGAGCCTTTACCATGTTTACTTGATCCTAGTGAGCCTTTACCATGTTTACTTGAGACTGGCAAGCCTTTACCATGTTTACTTGAGACTAGCAAGCATTTACCATTTTTACTTGAGACTGGCAAGCCTTTACCATGTTTACTTGAGACTGGCAAGCCTTTACCATGTTTACTTGAGACTGGCAAGCCTTTACCATGTTTACTTGAGACTAGCAAGCATTTACCATTTTTACTTGAGACTGGCAAGCCTTTACCATGTTTACTTGAGACTGGCCAGCCTTTACCATGTTTACTTGATCCTAGTGAGCCTTTACCATGTTTACTTGATCCTAGTGAGCCTTTACCATGTTTACTTGAGACTAGCAAGCATTTACCATTTTTACTTGAGACTGGCAAGCCTTTACCATGTTTACTTGAGACTGGCCAGCCTTTACCATGTTTACTTGATCCTAGTGAGCCTTTACCATGTTTACTTGAGACTAGCAAGCATTTACCATTTTTACTTGAGACTGGCAAGCCTTTACCATGTTTACTTGAGACTAGCCAGCCTTTACCATGTTTACTTGAGACTGGCAAGCCTTTACCATGTTTACTTGAGACTGGCAAGCCTTTACCATGTTTACTTGAGACTGGCAAGCCTTTACCATGTGTACTTGAGACTGGCAAGCCTTTACCATGTTTACTTGAGACTGGCAAGCCTTTACCATGTTTACTTGAGACTGGCAAGCCTTTACCATGTTTACTTGAGACTGGCAAGCCTTTACCATGTTTACTTGAGACTGGCAAGCCTTTACCATGTTTACTTGAGACTGGCAAGCCTTTACCATGTTTACTTGAGACTAGCCAGCCTTTACCATGTGTACTTGAGACTGGCAAGCCTTTTACCATGTTTACTTGAGACTAGCAAGCCTTTACCATGTTTACTTGAGACTGGCAAGCCTTTACCATGTTTACTTGAGACTGGCAAGCCTTTACCATGTTTACTTGAGACTGGCAAGCCTTTACCATGTTTACTTGAGACTGGCAAGCCTTTACCATGTTTACTTGAGACTAGCAAGCCTTTACCATGTTTACTTGATCCTAGTGAGCCTTTACCATGTTTACTTGATCCTAGTGAGCCTTTACCATGTTTACTTGAGACTAGCAAGCCTTTACCATGTTTACTTGATCCTAGTGAGCCTTTACCATTTTTACTTGAGACTAGCAAGCCTTTACCATGTTTACTTGAGACTAGCCAGCCTTTACCTTGTTTACTTGAGACTGGCAAGCCTTTACCTTGTTTACTTGAGACTGGCAAGCCTTTACCTTGTTTACTTGAGACTGGCAAGCCTTTACCTTGTTTACTTGAGACTGGCCAGCCTTTACTTTGTTTACTTGATCCTAGTGAGCCTTTACCATGTTTACTTGATCCTAGTGAGCCTTTACCATGTTTACTTGAGACTAGCAAGCCTTTACCATGTTTACTTGAGACTAGCAAGCCTTTACCTTGTTTACTTGAGACTGGCAAGCCTTTACCTTGTTTACTTGAGACTGGCAAGCCTTTACCATGTTTACTTGAGACTGGCCAGCCTTTACCTTGTTTACTTGAGACTGGCAAGCCTTTACCATGTGTACTTGAGACTGGCAAGCCTTTACCATGTTTACTTGAGACTGGCAAGCCTTTACCATGTGTACTTGAGACTGGCAAGCCTTTACCTTGTTTACTTGAGACTGGCAAGCCTTTACCATGTTTACTTGAGACTGGCAAGCCTTTACCATGTTTACTTGAGACTGGCAAGCCTTTACCATGTTTACTTGAGACTGGCTAGCCTTTACCTTGTTTACTTGAGACTGGCAAGCCTTTACCATGTGTACTTGAGACTGGCAAGCCTTTACCATGTTTACTTGAGACTGGCCAGCCTTTACCTTGTTTACTTGAGACTGGCAAGCCTTTACCATGTTTACTTGAGACTGGCCAGCCTTTACCTTGTTTACTTGAGACTGGCAAGCCTTTACCATGTGTACTTGAGACTGGCAAGCCTTTACCGTGTTTACTTGAGACTGGCAAGCCTTTACCATGTGTACTTGAGGCTGGCAAGCCTTTACCATGTTTACTTGAGACTGGCCAGCCTTTACCTTGTTTACTTGAGACTGGCAAGCCTTTACCATGTGTACTTGAGACTGGCAAGCCTTTACCATGTTTACTTGAGACTGGCCAGCCTTTACCTTGTTTACTTGAGACTGGCAAGCCTTTACCATGTTTACTTGAGACTGGCCAGCCTTTACCTTGTTTACTTGAGACTGGCAAGCCTTTACCATGTGTACTTGAGACTGGCAAGCCTTTACCATGTTTACTTGAGACTGGCAAGCCTTTACCATGTGTACTTGAGACTGGCAAGCCTTTACCATGTGTACTTGAGACTGGCAAGCCTTTACCTTGTTTACTTGAGACTGGCAAGCCTTTACCATGTTTACTTGAGACTGGCAAGCCTTTACCATGTTTACTTGAGACTGGCAAGCCTTTACCATGTTTACTTGAGACTGGCAAGCCTTTACCATGTTTACTTGAGACTGGCAAGCCTTTACCATGTTTACTTGAGACTGGCCAGCCTTTACCTTGTTTACTTGAGACTATAATTAAAACTAATTAGTTTGAATTATTGTTAACCAATTATTGCAGAACCAACCCCAACAGCCCCTGGCTCTTGTGTGGTTTTTCTAGGCAAATGTACGTCCAGTAGTTTGCCACTGCTTCTGTATTAGTACTACAGAAACAAAATTATATAACATCACACAACATTCAGGGATGTTAGACACATATAAAGAATATTTACAAATAAAATGCTGTGCTGACTGTTAACTTGTTCAGAATATCCATTTCTAAGAACTCACATGCCTCCTTTATTTAATTATGCATCAGCTGTCTTTATTTGAAACAATTAAAATACTTTGTATTTTATGACAATTTTTGTATCTTATGTTAAATTTCACAACTGAATTCCTGACAAAGCTGATCAAAATAGGGATGATTCGCTTCAAATATTTTGTTCAACTTCATTCTAACCTATGTTATCAACAGTAGGTTTGGCAAATGCATTATCAATCATAATAACAAGACTATTGTCACCGTCTGGCTGGGAATCAACAACAAAGAATCCCTGTGTGGATTCGGGGGCCCCTATTATAGAGAAAACAAGAATAGAAACCACTGCCTACCAAGCATGTTGTAAAGAGTTGACTAATTGGGAGCTTCCTTCGAAGTCGGAGTGCATTCTGCCTGAGAGGCAAGGAACCAGCAGTCTGCACACAAATGAGTCAGATCTGTAAAACGTATGCACACGCAACACTCAGGTTTTGGAACAGGACTGCCAGTCCAGAAGTGGATGAACAACCAGAACTTTTCCACCGGAGTTTACAGCTGGTGACCGCGAAGAAGAGAAGAAGAACAGCAAAGAAGTATGAACAGTTCTAGACCTTTTTTCCCTTATCATTTGATCAGGTAAAATCACAAAAAAAAAAAAAATTTATCGCATCTAATTAATTAAAAACAAATCAGAAAGTAACCCAAACACCACGCTAAACTTCGAAAAGAAAAAGACTTTGTTTCGCTAATTCTAGTTTCTCCAAACATATTTATATAAATTTATTTTCCCAGGAAATGACACAGTGTTAGAGTGTCTCTCTGAAGAGCCATTATAGTGTTGTTCAGTCTGAACGTGGTGGATTCAAAAGCCACTGAAGTGGTCTCTGGTCCATAAAGAGTTAAGGGAAAATGGAATTATATATAGGTAGATAATTGGGTGAGGGGGGTGGGGGGTCTTCTTGGCTATGTTTAATTAACTGTTTGCCTCACTGTCTAAAGTTTTTGTAGACTTAATTGTTTAGTTTGAGTGCAAGTATTTCACAGTTCCCTGTTTGTGATTGCTGGAGCTACAAAGTTTGCACTTTGTACAACACTGTCATATCTGCCAGAAGAGCTCTGCAGAGAGAATGCTGAATTAAGAATTGACATCTTAGCACTTGGGACACTCCCATAAGTGCTCTGTCCCCATCTTCAGCAGCAAGGGAAGACTTCCAATTAAGATGGCACCAGTAACTATATGATTGCATGTCCATCTCACCTTTCCCTTGAGGGTTGAGTATCGGCCAGATCCCCATGGTAACTCCTCGCAGCGAAATTCTCCTCAGAGTATAATGATCTGTTTTTCGTGCATCGGCACTGTTTACTCGCCTCCCAGAGGGCCTTCAAAACATCCAGCTTGTCATACATCAGTTCACCACCAAGTGGTGCAGAAACAGCCAGTCTATCTGCCTGCTTGTTTTCTCAATATACCCAAATAGCCTGGAGAAAAATATCCAAAAGATGCTAACTACCAAGTCTGCAGAGAGAGAGAGAGAGAGCAAACTGGGTTATATGGGGGTAAAACGGTTTAATGTAGTGTCAGTGTTTTTGCCTTTAAACATCCGTTATATTTCTGTCAAATTCAGATGATGCAGGCTATCAATGTTGGGTGTGTGGCCACAAGGTAGACAACACAGTTCTAATCATCTGTTTGCTGTAAGAGCCTGATAATTCAGCAGTTATCCCATCATGGGAGTTCATGGCCTATGGCAGCTGTTGCACCCGGCTGGTCAGCCAGTCTCTCTGGAGTCTCTGGAGGGCAAAATTCTGGCAGTTGGTATCCTTGTACATTGGTGTAGGGGGCACTAGTTACATTGATTGTTGGGGTGAGGGCAGGGGCACTAGTTACATTGATTGTTGGGATGAGGGCAGGGGCACTAGTTACATTAATTGTTGGGGTGAGGGCAGGGGCACTAGTTACATTAATTGTTGGGGTGAGGGCAGGGGCACTAGTTACATTTATGGGTCAGGGGCACTAGTTCCCTTAATGTGGGGGGCACTAGTTCCCTTAATGTGGATGAGGGCATTAGTTTTATTGTGTGGGGTCTTCATTTTTTTTTAATGTGACATGCGTTAGTGTCATTAATTTGTGTGTGTGGGGGTGGGGGGGGGGGGTGGGGGGGGGGGGGTTTAATTAATTTTTGGAAGGGGGGGGGAGTTTTTCATTTCTGTAGCGAAAATTAGCGGGGGGGGGGGGGGGAAACAACAGGGGGGGGGAGTCTAATGTAAGGGACACTAGTGTCAATAATGGGGTGAAGGACGGGGGGGGGGGGGGGGGGGGGGGGGGGGGGGGGGGGGGGGGGGGGGGGGGGGGGGACATTAGTTTTACATTTTGGAATGTGAGAGCGACACTAATTATAAAAATGTAGGGGGACGCTAGTTTCAATGAGTCCCAAGGACGACATCACGCGCTAATCGGTATAAAAATGGTTTTTACAACTGGCCAGTATAACGCTCAAACTGGCAGTTTTGAGTGGTATTTCCTGGTCTTTGTGTTTGATGTCACATGTGTTGACCATCAGGCATATTCAAAAACATGGTTCAAGGCATAAAATGTAGCATTTTTGTGAGCTTTATCAAGTTACTCAGTGTCTGTGTGAAAACAGTATGCCTCCGAGCAGACTTCTTCATGTATGCCAACAAGATTTATGACTCGTTTGTCAGATTTATTACAAGCTAGACAAAGAAAGTTATGAAGTAGACTTGTTTCAGTCAATGATTTAAGTCAAACTTTGATGAGGGATCGCTCTGATATAAGCCTCACGCAAAGCCTACAAAAATAACAGAGTCAGCTCGTACAAAGAGAATAAATATTAGGGAAAAAGGCAATATTCTTCAGTATCAGTTAGGTCTAGTTCCATTCCCTTATTGTATATGAATGCAGGCTATAAAATTACAGCAAACTGAGGGTTATATAGTTTTTGTGTGTGTAAAAATATGAATTGCTTTCAGAGGTCATTTTTCATTACCAAAAAATAGTGCTCTGTTATAAGTTTCTAAAACTTTCTCTGCAACAAAATCTAATCGACAGATTGTGTTTATATTTTATTTATACATTACTTAGTGGTTCATGTTCATTTGTGTTTCATTTTGGATATATATTATATCGAGGTTTTTTTTTTTTTAGTGCCATGGTGATAAGTGGAAAATTATTATTTCTTTTTACTAATTTCTCTAAACATACCATCTGTTTATTTACTAATGAATGACTAATAATAAATAACTAATAACACAGCTTTTTTCTTCTTCTAGCAGTATTCTAATATTATCCATAAACAATATCTGTTCACTTTATTGTATGTTGTGCTGCAGCTGAATTAGTATGGTCTGTTTTAATTTGTTACACTTGTAAAATTTCATAGTTGCATTACCTCCTTTTGGTTTAATCTGCTGAAAGTTAGTTCATTACTGTGGGTGAAACTAAGTAACATTGTTATAATTGATGGAAACAACAGAGATTTGCCTTGGAAGAGCTGCTGAAAGTGACAAGAAGAGAAAAGATCAGAAATGACGAAATTTATAAAAAGACTAGATTTGAAACGAGAATGGCCTGGTACTAACTGCCATAGAGAGCCGCAGGGAAGAAATATGATGAACACAGGAAAAGGGAAAGACCACACACAATATAGAATGATGGCATCAAAAGCATCCTGACAAAAATGAAGATCAGTTTATACAACACATTAGAAAGATCACTTAGAAGATGCTTACACACCTCTGCCTCCCATCTCCAGCACTATGATGAGGTAACTGGAGAAGAGAAGAAGCAGAAGGATCGGACCAGTTAATTCTGTTTGTGAATAGTTTAACTGAACGCAAAGAAGAAGAAGAAGTTTGTGAATAGAGACAATGAATATCAAATTGTGGACCTCCTACAAGATTCTGCTAATTGAAGGAGAAGGTTGGTGGTGTGTATGTGTGTGCACAAGAAGGGGACATCCATGAAACAGCCACATCAGACAGGCATGCAAGGACATTGGGGTTCAGACTGAGGCTGAGCTGAAAACACATGGAGGACTGTAGAATACAAAATCAAGTGACTGCAACACTAGATGGCATGGGAAGGAATGAAGGTAAATACCTGGATCTTTGCCATGTGGATAAGGTAAATAAATAAATATATGGATGTCTTGGTCATAAAAATGGGGTAAACAGATTAATACACGTCTTGGTCATATGGATAGGGTAAACAGATAAATACCTGGATGTCTTGGTCATATGGATAGGGTAAACAGATAAATGCCTGGATGTCTTGATCATAAAAATGGGGTAAACAGATAAATACATGTTTTGGTCCTATGGATGGCGTAAACAGATAAATACCTGGATGTCTTGGCCATATGGATGGGATGAAAAGAGCACTGACCTGATCTGTGATTATGGTGATATTTGGCTAGTCTCTGAGAGTCACAGATTGTTGTGTACTTGGCACATCATGCTGGTGGATACAGAAGTCTGAGAGGAACAACACAGCACATCGGGATCCTAGACATCTAATATGTGATAGATGCTATTTGTTGGTTGTTGTTATTTTGTTTTGAGAATATAATTGAATAGACCAACACAGGTGTT